CTCCTCCTCCTCCTCCTCCTCCTCCTCCTCCTCCTCCTCCTCCTCCTTTTCTTTTCCTACTGCACTCCTCTTGCTGTAACAACCTTTCTCCCCTGCCTTCCTCTGCTTTGGAAGCAAAGGAGAGAAGGAAGCTAGCGGCTCAGGACCATTAACTGGAGACGGGGCCAAGAATGAAAAGATGCGCCTCAGTCTAAGCGGGAGGCGCTGCTGTCCGCGGTGCAGAAGTTGGTGATTTGCTGTGTAATCTAAGAACCCTGCTCCAGACCTGACTAGTTCCTGACCCAACCATAGGAGGAAAAAACCTCTTGCTGGGATGCTTTCTCTTTGGCTTCTTTCCTCCCCTTCAGATAGAGATGGTACAGGCTCCTGGAGCTTAGAACTCCCAAGAACCACAATCAGGCGCCTGAAAGGCAGGTCTTCCGAGTGGTCCTAACACCAAGTGACAGGTCTAAATATCCTGACTGCTGCTGGCTGGAGCAGAGAGATAGGATTGCTCAGATTTTACCTAACGCAGATGTGTAATTAATTCATATATATATATTCACCAAACACATGCTGCTGAGAAAACCACACTCCACAAACACAAACAAACCCAGCAGGAAAGGTAGAATAAATATGTAGTCAAATGATAATTACTTCAGTGTGCTTAGATATTGCAAGTATTAATAACTAGGAAGGTCTATAGAAAAGATGGTTTCTCTAATCATTTAGATTATTTTACTAGTAAGTCTCAAACTTATTCCTCAGCTTCTATCTAGCCACATTTATACTGATTTGTTTTCCTAGCATCCAGCCCAAGTGAAGTACTGGTATTCTTTTCTCCTCAAAGAATCAACCATTTCACTGACATTACTGACACAGTTAAGAATTATAGATCTTCTAAATACCTAATGATGTTTAGGAAGGTTTGAGAAAGAATAACCATGTCTTTCAGGATTATGTAATAAATATGCATTTGCTTTTTGTGATAAATACATTTTTGTGATGATTTCCCCACTCCCTGAATAGATTCTGAATTTTAATGTTATGCTTATGTCTTAGAGAGGTCTACTGTAAACAGAGCTATGTCTTCACTGCATAATCAGTATAGTGTTCAAGGGCCTGATTCAGCATTAATTTAAGCATTTTCTTTTTTCTTATTGATTTTAAGTTCTAGTAAGAACTACAGATTGGGTAAAGTCTGTAGAAATAAAAACCACACAGTTGACCAATGGTGGGGAAGAACAATATTATGCCTCAGGATATAAACCACCCTTCTCATCATATAATAGGGATCTGTGCAAATTAGAAAGTACCTTTTTTCTATTTGAATTCCTAGACTCTCATAAGCCCATGACCACATCCCAGAATTCTATATACAATTTTCATCAACTAGTTATAAGAGCTCAAGGAAACAAAATATGAGAAATATATTGTCAAAGACCACAACTTTTTATAACAGTCAATTAAGTTTAAGTTAACAATGTATTAGGTGCCATTAATGTGGTTCTAATTATTTTAGGTAGAATAAAAGAAAAAGGGAACAATTGAAAGTACCATGTTTTCAGTACTTCAGTGTATATATTTCAAGATATACGATAAACAGATTTGTAACTAATATACATTTTATAATATTAAGGAAAAAGAGCTTCAGAAGGTACTATCTAGTTAATTGTTTCCTAACATAAAATAGTTTTCTCTAAAATCATTCTAATCAGTATATCATCATTTCTTTGACTGACCAAAGTCAAACAAAACATTAAATAACATATTCTAGTTTTTTAAGAGGTACAGACTAAATTGTATCATTTTCATGCTATTTAACACGGGCTGATTTTATGTGTAACCAAAGAAGTTGCTAAATGCATTGAATATCAGCGTGAAGATTACATGATTTGCAGCATAGCTATTTTTGCTCCTCAATCTTGCTAGCTAGAGCTTAATACTAGGAGACACATAAAAATATTGAAAGCAATAATGCTTCAATAGTGATTCCTTGGATGCTAATTCTCCATTCTTATTTTTCTCACCATTTTATTATTGAAGTCACAGTAAACTAATTTCATGTCTGTTAGTGAGAAGGTTGAAAACTCTAGTTTATTTGTCTTGGTAATATACTGATAATATAATTGAAAGGCAGTCAATAGCTCTGCTAATGTCTATTATATATGATAACCATGTTTCATAGAGTGTAGACTGGTCAGTGTTTGTGTTTGAAAATGATTGAATGTTTTTGGCAGTGATCTTAAATGTCACATTAGCTGAATATAAAGTACATCAAATCTTGAGGCTAGTAAAACTCTGGACAATGGCATACAAATAGAAAATAAGGGCATGGTTGGAAAAGAAATGAGCCAAATTTCAATAATTTTTGAGAAAAAAAGATTAGTTCCTTTCAATTACAATGAACAAGCACTTGACAGAAACAACTTGGTAAAAGTAAAACACATTTGAATTCTGGGTTTCTAAGATGTTAGTTCAACTTGATGAAGAAGATATGGTAGAATGATGTGAATATATCTGCTAGCGAGAAGAGTGAAATCAGTAAGTTTGTTTATCTTAGTCAGACACTGATAATATGATTGAAGTGTTGTCAATAGTCTAGTGATGTCTATTACATAAGAAATTATTTGGAAACCATCTAAAGTTGTAGCTAAGTGGTAAAAGACCTAAAATAATTGACCTCCGACACTATCTTTAAGTGGAAAAATTTATTGAATGGAGCACTGAAAAATCATAGTCACCTTTCATAGGCAAATAATGTTATTGGAATTCCCATAAAATACACATATATTTTGGAGTACAGACTACCCAACTTTGTCAAGGACATGGACTAGGCCCTAGCACCTGCACATCCCTTCACAACTGTCTGAAGCTCCAGTTTTGTGACTTCTAAGGCCCTTTTCCGGCCTCTAGAAACAGTATATGTATGCTGTACAGATAAATATTTGTACATACAAAATGTTTTTGGTACCCAATTAGAAAAGGAATACTGCCAGTCAGACACTATATCCTATGAAGACCTTACCACAAGTTTTGTTAAAGGTATTCAAATATGTTTAAAAGGATGAGATTTACTAATCTAGTGAGAAAGAAATGAAACCTACACTAAAATCTGGTGTATATAACATTTGCTTGGAATCTAGACTTAGCAAAGCTTTCAGGCCTTGGCGGTTATATGGTGCGTGATATCATAATCAAGCATCAATAGTTTGGAAGACTGACAGAAGAAAATATTCAAAAGTAAGCTTGTCAAAATACCACTTTATTTTTGTGTTCATAAAAATGTGGAATGTCTAGTGTTATTTGGAGAAAACCACTGAAAAAGATTTGCTTAGAAAAAATGCACACATAATTTCTCAAAGTAATGATCAATTAGATGTTTAACACCAATTACATTGTAGTCAGAAAATATATTTAATGCACATATATTAATATACTTGCAATTAATAATAAGTCTTGGGAGCCTTTGAAAGAGCAGGTATAAAATCGATATTCAATGTTATCTTTTTACAATTAATTTTAAAATTGAAATAAAATTATAATACTTTATCTTTTTATTTTCTTCCTCTAAACTTCCATGGCCCCTCTCTCTCATCTATTATATTTGAATGCCTCATCCCTCTAAAATTGATGTCTTCTGATTCTTTGTTTTACACACACACACACACCACACACACACACACACACAAACACAAACACACATCCAAATATAAGGATATCTCTACCAAGTCCATTTTTGTTGTTTATGTATATATCATCTCCAGGATGATCATTTTGTGTTAGAAGAACAAGAAAGGGCATCATTGTTGGGAAACACTGATTCATCCTCTCTGGATGTCATTAATTACATGAAGCTATTTGCCTAAGGATTAGACCCCATGAGATATCCCCCACTCTCAGTTAGCAATTCTATTGATGTTGTCAGTGTCACATCTTGTTTATGTAGACATTTCTAGGGAACATAGAGTCACAGTTGGCTTTCTGGTCCTCCAAATCTTACAGTCATTCCAGCCTGTCTCCTGTGGTGTTTCCTGAGCCATAGGTTCGGGACTTGTGTTGTAGGTGTGCCCTTTGCAGCTGGGCTCCCCATTTTTTTATTTTTACCTTGGGCTTAATTGTGGTTTTCTGGAATGGTCTCTATTTTCTGTAAAGAAAATCTTTTTTTGCTGGGTAAAACTACAATTACCCATGTGTTTAAGTTATAAGTAGGAAAGTGCAGTAGGGTATTATTCCAATCTACCAAAGTTTGAGTATTAGGTTCTCTTCTAATATTCACGGCTTTCATAATCTCAGCTAATTAGCATAGAACACAGTATGATTTCTCTCCTGTTATGTCACTCTTAAATCTTATTGGTTATAGACCTTTAGAGATTTCTGGCCATGATGGTCATTATTGTGGTTCATAGGCATCACAGCTTGTTACAACTACTGACTGATTCATTCCCTTGACAGCTTGCA